CTCACTAACGTAAGCCAACCTAACTGAACCATACCTAACTTAACCCGAATCCAACTTAATCCAAAACAAAACTATAAATTTATAATCCATACACACATGCGTTCATGGCATATTCTGGATTCTGAATGTCCCTACCTGAAACAGTTTGCAAAGAATCATTAACAAAATATTTCAAAAGTTATCTTACACGACTTTCGTTTCCACATCTCAAATCATATAGTCTTAATGTCTTCTGTTAGTACTTCAAGTCAACAGAGATACGTCACAAGGCGCGTTAGCTCTGTAACAGAGCACTTGATTAGTTTTCTTGTGGTGACAGGATAGAATTATGGTAATGTCAAACTATTCTCTTTTCTGCAACCGACGTGTTGTTATTTTACATTATAAAAACATTACTATAGCAAATCTGTATATTATCCGAAAATCTGTAACCACAGATTATTGTTTGGTCCTAATTCATGTAGCAGCTTTGACGATCCTCTCACCTCACAAGTTTGTTCGCTCGCCGTATTGGTAATACTAATTGCAGGAACCGGAAGTTACTATTCTTGGATAGATCCCAATGGCATAACATCCATATGAAATTTTACCCATATTTCTCCAACAGTTCTGGAGTGTAATTATGCAGACAGAAAGATAGACGAATAAATAAGACAGACATAATCAGCTTTAAATATGTTAATTTCATGCACATCGTGCAAAGAACGCATAAAAAGGATGAGAAAGGAAAACACAGGACTACGGGTGAAAGGAGTGAAGGAGATAAATATATGAAAGTACAAAAGAAAGGAAAATGGGAGGTAAGGGTAGAAGATACGAAATAAATAATTACCCGCTGAAAATCAACGAGCCCTTTTCACTAGCTTCAAATAAGCTGTACAAATTTTTTGCTAGTTCTTTATTCCGTTTAACCTGTTGTTATAACGAATATTCATTACGCACATCTTAAAGTAAAACGCTCCTTGTTCTGTAGCACACCAAGACATTTCTCCGTGGCTTTTATCGTAATGCCATGATCATTTTCATTCTAGGATTCTTAATGCATGCTCGTGGTTATAACAGAACTGAATCCTCGTGTAATGTCATCATCCGTGGAAGTCCCACTATCCCTGAAATTACTGTCAGACATTTCTGAATCTCAGAAAGCTCCCTGTCTACACAATTTCATAGCAAGTTGCCGACAGGAAACAAAGGAACATTCTTACATTATATATTGTCACGTACGTCCGAAATAATTTCTTCATGACCAGAAGACAGGCTGTTAAAAGACATAATGACAAATTACTTTACGATTCTACTTATTGCGTTCTTCGCACGAACCACACAAAATTATTGTATTTCATTGAGGTCCGTTGTCAGAATTTGATATCGCCGAAACTACTCAACACATTTGGATTCAATTCGGTACTGACAGTTCACAACATCCCAGAATATAGTAATATTCACGAGAACCTAAAATCACACCGACTTTTGATTCCGTTCACGAGCAAGTGTTATTTTCAGGTCCAAAGCAGTATTAGACTGCTCCTCAAATCGTTCGCCAGGTGGTAATCGATTTTCATTCTCTGCATTTAAAATCGCCAAATGTTCTGTGGTTTACCACATTCATGATGACGGAACTGTGCAGGCCCGTGAGGGTCAACAGGTGCCAAGGGGATAATTACACGTCACGTCGCCAGACAGGCAGATGTTAATCTCGTGTCTCATGGACAACTTCAAGTTTACGTCATTCAGACTCTGTATAATTATTATCCGTCTCACTGATTCTATAGGAGACTAAGGCGAGTCATCCACAGGAAACTAAGTGCATGAAATCAGTTTCATAAAACCGGAAACATGGTTTAATAGAAAATACTGAAGTCACACATAGTCATAAGAAAATATTCTTGCACAATTATAGTAACATGAAACACAACTTTAGTTTCGTTGGGAACGCTGCCATTTTCAGCCCTAAGAATGACTGTCTTCTAGGATGTAGCGCCGTGAAGTCTGGTAGAAGTTTAGCCTTGAAGATGGCGAAGGTATGTTCCTCCGAAATGTATCTGCATACAAGTCCACACGCCGTCACAACACATAACAACACAGCCATATTCGTCACCGTGAAAACCTCAAATTTCTCCTGTACTGATCAGCAATAAATTCTTTAATTGGGTGGAACTTGTTACGTGAAAACATGAACATGCAACTGTCTTCCTCCCTCCTTAAGAAGATGTGATAAGTGACACAAATTTTTAAGGTATTAAATAATTCGCTGAGTTTGTATTTCAGTGTCTTCCAAATTTCCTGTTTTATGTCATCCAGTTGTAGCAATGTTAGGTCATAGCAGTGTTCAGCGCCAGCAAGAAAGGAATCGTACCCGTGTCGAGTTCGAACATGAATTTGCAAGTGATGCTTACTAAGGAGTTTAAACACGGCATGCTGGTTGCAATCTGACGCCCATCAGCGGTAGACGTAAACACTCACAGAGACAGGCACAAAGGGTAGGAGAGAGAGAAAAAACAAATTACGTTGTTAACCTCGCTAATAATTCTTTGCACATTTCTAATGCTAAAATCGCACACTTTAGCAGTACATCTTGCTCTTCGACAACGACGTGGACTGACACTCCTGTGTCACCTTCCATATTTAAACACATTGACTGATTTACTGCTGGAAACCAACAATATGTGACTGAATCTGATTGGCTTATGAGAGCACGTGACAACAGATGCGCAGACGCGTCCTAAACTCACCCGCTATCATTCATATGGAACGCTGGCTTCTTAGTGACGTACGTAATATGATTTCATTAATAATGAAGCACAAAGTATTTTCAACTGGAACATATTGGTCAGAATTAACTTCCTCTTACGTTTTTAATCAAGTTTTCCTCCTCGCCCACACCACTGACAACAGAGTCAGCAGCGAACATTACACATACTGGGAGTGCCATTGCTAAACCTGGACCTAAACCAACCCCTAACGCCTCCCACGACAACCCCTCCTCCCTTCGCCCAAACCCCTCTACTGAAAACAAATTTGCAATTCGACGAAAGATAACAGAAAGGGCTCGTGCTGTGTGGCTGTTTGCAAAACAAGGTGGACTTCTGTGGCGACCTTCGTATTCCTACACAGGAAATACCTCTGAATAACTATCAACTGCTCTATAAACACAAGCCTATTGTTCCACCGAGATCATCCCGACAGAAAACACGAGGCGAGACTCGCTCACTACGCGCAGGTACGTTAACCCCGTCATAAGAGTTCGGATGTATTGTGCTGTGTTGCAATGATGTCCTGGATTTGGCGAGATGGATACAGCAACAACGCACGAATGAATGAATTAATAAATTAAAGAATGAGTGGAAGGAAGCACTAACAAATGATTATAAAATAAATTATTCGATTATTTGCAAGCCTTCGTTGTTTAATAACAGATTTAAAACAGTGAATAATGTAACAAAATCATATTTGTTTTAATATAAAAAAGCGGACAGTGGAATTAATTTTTAAAACAAACCGTTTTGACTGGGTTGTTTATTCCTAGTGCAGCTGTTGTAGAGACAGATGCACCGAATATCCGGAATGAAAAAAGTGTGAAACGTCAACTAACAAAGTTTAATACAGAAACCTTTGTGTTCTCATTACTTAGCTCTGTTACATGAAAAAATAAGCAATTAAAAACTTCCAACTTAATTAATTTCGACATGCCGATGGTATAAGTCATGTTGCTACAGAAACTTAGGATGGCTGTCTGATGATGGAGGCATTAAACCTCTGAAACGTCGTTAAACTTCTAGCAGACTACACGGCGAAACAACCCAGAAGACAGCCATCTTCAGACTCACCGCCGTGAAAACCTCAAATCCTACAGAGAAACTTAACTTTGGAACTCATTTGGTTTTCAGGTTCTATAATAAATCTGTAAGTTATAATTCATGACCAGCTTCAAATGTTATTTGTTTAATGAGCGCATTCCAGGCAACAGAAACCACATTTGGCTCCCATTGCCTCACCGCTGGTTCTTATTGTCATTTGTTGGTTTATATAGCAATTGAAAACTGTCGCATTCTTAATTTTTTTCAATAACTGCACTCTTTTATTTTGTCGATGTCCCGAAACAGAAAACGAACTAGTAAAAATGTTGCATGGAAAAAAGTAAATTAAGAAATGGCAGCCAAGACTGGAAACATGGAAAGTTTATTCACACAGAAGCAAAGAAGATTGGAATACCTTACAAGATATTTCAGAAAAGACAGAAACAACGACAAGAGTCTTCTCCAAAAAAGACAAGGAAACCAGTATCTTCGGAGGAAAAGGAAGAATTTCTCACCTTTCATTTGGTGAGGCTTTCAAACATATGGTTATTGTTTGAGATACCACATTTTTATTCCTAGTTATAGTAGATGTGAGTACTGTGTGATGTGAAGTTACACCTCCGCAACATTTTTATTAAACTACTAATTTATGGTATTTATTTTGTTCTTAATAGATACAGTACGTTGTTAACATTTCCCCGAACTGCAATGAAATGATGGTCAATCAGACCCTTAAAATTCCTCCTGCGTATCATAAACCACCGCTTTGATTAACAAAGTCAGCATTCATATGATAGTATAAATATTCAGTTCCTGGCTAATGTGGCTTCAAAAGTTTATTTTATTTTGACTTTTCCTTAGGTGGCTCCAGTTTACGCGGTCTCCCCTAGCCTTTATACTGGGATACTGGGAACGACCCTTTCTTCAAGTGCCTGAGCACTGCGGGTCCCAACTTTCCGTTGGCTCGGTCTATAGACATTCGGTAGGACTCCTTGGACGAGGCATCGGCCCGTCACAAGGCCTCTGCCTGTACACAGGAGAGCACAACCCAGAAAAACATCCATGGCTTGAGTGGGATTCGAAACCACGGTCCCAGCGACCAAGCGGCACAAGGCCCACTCCTCAGACAGCTAGGCCACTGCGGACCCCAGCCTTTATACACTGAACTAATTTGAATAACAGTGAATGAAATGTACTCCGCCATCTATCAACAGTTACAGCTTTTTTTGACTTTTCGACAATGAGAAATTATACGTTACCATGGAAATATACAAACAAAAGAAGGTCCCTGTAACACCAAATCGCAGCGCAAATGGTTAAGCATGTGAAATGATTCCCTTCTCTCCAGGGATTCAAATTAAACGTCTCTTGTTCACAGATGGGTCCATTACTCCTGAGCATTCAGTCATGTTTCTGTGCCCATATCACTTGCGGCATTCATGCGAATGCATGTCAACTAGTAATTGGAGACAGAGAGGAATAGGATTCGAATTCGCAGGACTGGCAGATGAATTACTGCCATTTTCAGCCAAACAATGTTTGTAGTGTGTTATATGGCGTACTGGCGGGTAGTAAGGTACTATCCGAAGTTCTAACTACAGAATGTGGGGAAAATGGCGCATAATAACAATGGGAACAGATAAGATGTCAAAAAAAACGAAAATGTTAAAGGAATTTAATGATGCAAGAGTCGCACCGATCATAAGGAGGAAATAAATTAGTAGTGACGCTGAGAGACAGGGAGACACACGGAGGGTTGAATAACTACAAAGAAACTGCATGTAACACTCATGAACAAATGAGCTACAAAAGAATAGAGCGAATATGAATTCCCATTTCACACATGTCAGAATGAACATCGCTTGTGAAGCGTACAACGCTTGCCGACACAGAAGAGCAGATACATAATTGAGAGAGCAGTAGTTACAGCGTCCACCACGCATTCGCCGACACGCAACCACACGTCATGGAATATTAGCTTGCACACGTCGTAACATATCTGCATCAATGGTCACCACAGCACCACGAAACTTTGCTGTCATGTCTTAAATGTCAGTCGGCTCTCATCCCTGTAAACAATTTATTTCAGGTGTCCCCAATGGAAGAAGGCCAGAGGGTTCAGGTCCGGTGACACCGCAGGCCGTGCTAGATACAGAGCCGCCACTGCTTGGCTACTAGTCAGGAAACTTGAGTGTTGAGGCGCAGTTGGGTATGTGCACTAAAATGCGTCGGAACAAACCACATACCGCGTACAGCCACCAACGGTGCATCTTCATATAGCACCGGTAGCATTTCCTGCAGTACAACCCAATAAGCAGGGACATTAATGCGACCGAGTAGTAGGTATCACCCAACCACACAACTGCCAACGATACCGGCCCATATACTGATGCTCCAGCGAACTTGATGCCCTCACTCAGGTGTCACATGGAGATTATGCTTCGTCCGACCATAAGATGTGCTCCAAAAAGCCCAGATTACGTAAAAGCCACAATTAGTATCACAGTCGATGATGATAACCATGAGACATGGGAATTTGGACCCATGAGTACAGGTCTTCATCCCGGAGGATTAAATTGACAGCGTGATGTTCGACACCCAGCCCTCGGGAAGTTCCTCGCTGCCACCACATCTCTTCGACTGATGGTAACCGGTGAGTGCACGGACGGCCCTTACCCAGCAGTGATGTTGGTAGGACGCTGCCAGTCTCCCTCATTCTGTCGTCCAGCCGGCAAAGCATTACTGATTGGATGCCGGCATGCTGGATATTTCCTGGCTGCAGCGTATGCCCGATTACAAAATACATATCACGGTATTCGTGCAACGTGAAGTCATTTTATTTACTCATTCTTGCTGTCTTGCCGCCATGGGACGACTACCCAGTACAACAGTAAGACCACTCCTGTGCGCTGAGCGTTGATCACTGACGACCGTGTTATCTCAGGGACTATCTTCATATTACCCGTGCTGTACGTCACGTCCTATGGCCCTTGGTCCTTCCACAGTGTGACTAATGCACTTGCCCCATTTGACGGTTACATGAGAATTCCTTTTAAAGAAGTCCTCTTACATTTTCGCTTGTTTAGGCTCTCCCTCCGTTTCCGCTGTTATTATGCGCCACTCTTCCCACATACTGCATAGCGGGGTCAGAATAAAGTAAACCAGCCTTAACGCTTTCCTGCCAGAGGCTCCTCTACATAATATTCTTCGTGCTTTAAAGAAAACACGTCTCCATTACAAAGATCAGTCAGCTGATGCCATTTAGGGAAATATAACCTGTATTCTCCGACAATCGTATGAAACACGTAGCAGACTTGAGCCTACAATCTGTGGACAAAACGCAGAGAGTTTTAATGTATGAGATTTGAGGTACCCATTTATGACAAAGATGCCATGGTGGTCACATCGTGCCGTTCTGAATGAATATATTGCCTCTAACCTTGAGGTAGATAGTTACTGTATGTTAAAGTGGGGTGGTAGGTCTATATACTATAAGCATCATTGTGCTTTAAAGGGCTAAATCAATACTTTCCATTGTATTAACGAAATATGTCGATTTGGAACGAGTACTTCTTCGCATAGAAAAGTAAAAGTAAAGCTGTCCTACTAAACGCCATGTAGGCGCTTGGGGGGGGAGAGGTGATATAGCTCCTACTCATTCTTGACACCTCTTCTTCGAATATCTTTGTTATGTGACATTATCAGTGAAAGTAATCTTATCATCCCTTGTCTTAAGCAAACCATTTGCCGCATTCTAGAGACTCAATTTTTACGTTAACACAAAAATATAAAAAAAACAAGACTATTTCTCTGCTGAGAGTTTCAGCGTGGGAAGGTTCGAGCCAATAGTGGGACTTCAGACTTCATTGTACGGCTCAAGGATTGTCGTTTCCAGAACCTGAGAGGCTCAATGGCCTGGTTTTGGAGAGGTACTGGGAACATACGGTGAGTTTTGTAGGCAGCGCAACCGTGAAACAAACTTTTGCATTATGGGTCGGCCCGGCTTGACGGGAGGAATGTCAGACTCTTCCGCCTGAGTGCGCGCTCGAAATAAAAATACTCAGTACAGTAGAACGTTGGAGGTTTATTTGGTAAAATGGGTATAGCAGTAGTACTTCATAAAATAAATATCTTCCATTTGTTTATTTAACTTTATTCCACTTGATAATATCCGAATGGAACTTTAACAGGGTGTGAAGGTGTGCACTGCATTGAACTGGCTCAGCATAGCATTCAATGGTTGAATTCTATGAACACAATAACAAAACATTGTTCTGTAAAAAGCGGGAAACTTCTTGAACAGCTGAGCACACATTATATCTATTAATTCATTGGCGTGTTGATTAACTATCGACGCTTCAAGAAAGAATGTGCGCCAAGGAGCCACTGAGTTGGTTAGAGAGTCAACGGGAAACAGCTAGGCTGAGTCTCTATAAATTATCCGAGAAATTTAGTTAAGCGTTTATATTTACTTGTACTTCACGTGCTTTGAGTTTAATAATAACAGCCAGTCTAGACGCGTGACGTATCTATGTGAAAACGTAAGAGGATCAAGTTGCTATATGCACCAGCATGAAATGCTGTTTGCAGTATCCATGGTGCAGGAAGTGTGTCAATTCGGCGTTTTACACATTGCATTCCACATGGATAGAACCATAAAGTGCCGATTCTACCATATAATCGCATTTAGCTAACACGCCGCCGAATAAAATCGAGGTACAAAATGATTAATTTATACATGGAGATACACTACCGTCACACAGTTAAGTGTACAAAGTATTACAAGATATCAATCTTCGTTACATGCTGGACGTGTGTCGTGTGTTAACTGCTTCAAATACACCTTAATGAGTCTTACGAGAGCGTTTTTTATTATTTAAGGACGATTTATCAAATAAAAGTTAGTATCGAATTGTAGGATAATGGCGAATGATGGTGTGGAAAAAATTGGGATGGAAGGAAGAAGTATTTGTCCGTATTAAAGTGGAATATACTCAGGAATATGCTATTAAGAACTAAAAAAACAAGAAACACCTGAATCAATATAGCGAGGGTTCGGCAAAGATTCAAACCCAGGAAGACGAGAATAATGAGTGGTAATCGCTCAACCGCGAAGTTCAAAATGGTGCGCGAAACATTGAAAACTGGTGTTTGATCTCTTACCAACAGCCTTTTAAAACAAAAGTTATAAAACCTCAATCTTATCTGCTATTTTGTATGGGTACAAAACTTGGTCCCCTCACTCCAAAGCCAGAAGACAGATTAAGGGTAGTTGAGAAGTTGCCTTCTAATCACTGACTAATGAAACTGACATGAGATCGTGAAAAATGTTAGAATTTGTGACATATCATTTGCCGAGGAAAAAGGTTACTGGATTATCAGCGTCACATATATGAAGTAGGTGATGGCGCTACTAATGAAATCGTATATGCTGCACTAAATTTGCAATCGAGGAAATTACAATTCAAATTAAATGGCAATATCCTGTCTGTTCGCAAATAACGTGACAATATATTCCCGGAAATAGAGATGGACGTCGTATGTAGCCTACATCACTGTTTACATAGGCCACTGTTAGGATTAGGAATGAAAAGTGTTACATATCCAAGATACAGTCAATTCAAATATGAGTATTTTCATCATTATCATCAACTCTTTCGGATTTGGCATACGGCCCGTTACAAATCAGAATTACTTCTGAAATTATGAATCAGTTTCGACATTTCGATGGACTCCATGAACGAGTGGGGTTCGCAGTGGCCGCGCGGTCTGAGGCGTGGGCCTTGTGCCGCTTGGTCGCTGGGACCGTGGGTTCGAATCCCACTCAAGTCATGGATGTTTGTCCGCGTTTTTCTGTGTTATGCTGTCCTGTGTACAGATAGAAGCCTTGCGACGAGCCGATCCCTCGTCCAAGGAGTCCTACCGAATGTCTATAGATCGAGCCAACGAAAAGTTGGGACCCGCAGTGCTCAGGCACTTGAAGAACGGGTCGTTCCCAGTATCCCATAAACGAGTTATCAGCCCCTCTCAAGGCCTCTACATACACAGGTCAGCACAACACATGAAGACAAACACAAATATTCGTACTTTAAGCGGATTCGAACCCGTGATCCCAGCACTCAAGCAGCCAAAACCCATGTCCTAATCAGTGCGGCCACTGAGACAGTTCCTTCCAACTGTACGAATAAGTACCAGAAACACGATCGACCGTATTCATTTAACCCGTAATACAGAGTGGCCATAAAAAACCTTTACAACTTCAACACTAAATAAAAAAATAATGAGACAAGATAACTGGATGATATTTTTGCATTCTAAACAACGTCTCTCAAAGTTTTTAAGGGAATTTTGTTTAGTGTTAATAACATAACTTTTGTTAATTGAAGGTGTGCACGTCGACTGACATTTAACATTACAGGAAATGGCTACTCCACAGGAGAAGACACAATGTGTATCCTGGTTTATCGAGACAAAATCAGATACGCAGGTGCAGCGCAAGTTCAGGACCAAATATGGAAGGGAACCGCCATCAAGACCCACAATTCGTGAGTGGCACAGGAAATTTATGGTGACTAGCAGTGTTCTGCAGCAAAAAGGCAGTGGCCGACCAAGCACAAGCGTAGTGGACATTGAATGTGTGCGTGGTGCATTTGTCCGTATCCCTAGAAAGTCCATTCGCACCGTCGCCAGACAATTGGAGTTGCCACGTTCAACCGTCCACAAAGTTCCGCACAAGAATCTGAGACTGTACGCATACAAAGTTCAGGTGGTGCAAGCTCTTGATCCAGATGATGGGCCACGCCGCACAGCATATGCTGTCGACATGCTAGCTCGAATTGACGTCGAGAGGCTTCCTTGAGCGTGTTCTCTTTGGTGACGAGGCAACGTTCCATGTGTCAGGGTTACTGAACAGGCACAACGTAAGGATATGGGGATCCGAAAACCCCAATGCGGCCAGAGAACTTGGCTGACGGAATTTGCTGTCCCACAATTGGAAGACATTCAACAACATGTCATCTTCCAGCAGAATGGAGCACCATCCCACTGGGGGTTGGCGGTTCGTGGTTACCTTAACGAACAGTTTCCTGATAGGTGGATTGGGAGAGATGGTCCAATACCGTGGCCACCTCGTTCGCCCGACATAACCCAGCTGGATTTTTTCTTTGGGGTTATGTTAAGGATCTTGTGTACCGAACACAGGTTCCCGACATCGAAGAAATGAAGCGAAGGAATGTGGAAACCAAAATTACAAAACCAATCTTCAAATAATTACAATCAAATCAAATTTCATGAAAGAAATTTCAACAAACAATCCAAAAATTAATAACAATGTAACCCACCACCAACTTAAATAAAAGCTGCACCATTGCAACCATTAATGCAGAGATTCTTCAGCGAACATGGAGGGAAATCGAGTATCGAGTATGTGCTACGTGCAACTAAGGGTGCACATGTAGAGGTGTACTGACTTATGTGCATAAACCTTTGAGACACGCTGTTTAACAAGCAACAAACCCCATGCAGTTATCTTGACTCATTAATTTTTTATCAAGTCTTGAAGTTGTAAAGGTTTTTTATGGACACCCTGTACAATCTATTCTGCTGCACACTGCAGTGATTTCTGATACACTGATCGGTAGAACAGCAGTGGACCTTCTGAGGATAGCTTATTGCACATTATCATAGCCACAACGCTCTATACTTGTACCCGATTCGAAATAATTAAATTTCTAAATGATATTTCCTAGTTTCCTACGAATTCTGGAATATTGCTTAGAAATATGCCATAATCATCTCCTTCAAAACCCTTATCTACTCATGATTCATGAATATGTTTCCAGTTCATTTAAATCTGCAGTTCAAACTACGTCCTTTAAATAACACAAGAGTCGAACAACACATTTGTTCTTATCTCTAAACTGCAAAGCAAATCTGCAACCGTCACAGTGAAATTTTCCTCTTTCCAAGAATTTTAAAACCTTCATTCTTTCAAACATATTACATATTTTTGTGCAATATTCAACGTTTCTCGCTGGCTTCACTAAATTACACGCTTCAAGGTCATGAAATTTACAACGTTGCAACTCGCAGCGCAGCAAAGCTAGCAACGCTGTACCGTTGATTTAGTGATGCGTGCTAGGGCGCACG